CATGGGTACAACAGAAAATATTCTGAAAGTAAAGTCTCCCTAATAATAATGCAGAAATTAACAAATCATATAGACTTAAAGCTCTTTAATTTTAAGATAGATCTCAGAAAGGAAGATATTGGGACATTTCATCTTGAAGAGATTTGTCATGGCTATTCATCTGGAGGGTAAAAGGTAGATTTGACTTCATATATGTTACACTCAACCATCTACAAATGCCTTTCCTTAGGTGATCTATAAAGTCACTCAGAGGCAGAAAGGGTGTGCGTGGGAAGTTGGAGGAGGGTGGTTTGAAGGAGAATGACCTAGCAATTGCTGTTGTTCCCTAGGGCAGAAAAATGTTACCTCACATCTCACAGAACGTTGTCCTTGTATAGAGTATGACAAATGACCTCACACAGAGAAAAGATTTATTTAAGAGACATTCCTTTGGTTATATTTATTTGGCATTTTGGACCAAGCATCATCATTTTGCATTCATACTTTACTTACTAAAAGTGACAAAACACACCATTGATTTCAGTCTGGTGCCATCTTTTTGCAGTACATTACCTACATTATTTAATAATGTCTGTAACAAAGGAATTTAGGGGTCTATGTTTTGTGAGTTTTTCTTGAAGATAAGTTCATGAATGATGTTTAAAAAGAATACTATGTCGGTCTCTCATCTGACATAAAATGTGACCAAGGAAAACTGATAACTTTACATATAAGACTCTCATACCAAGTGATGGTTCAAGATTATGACCAAAACTCTCAACACTAACAGTTACTGTAAGAGTCTACAGACAGAAATGTAATATGGACAACAATAAGTCCAAGGGGAACAAAGACACTACCTTCTGGGAGGTTTGATAAGATCTGTATTAGAGAAAAGTTTACATTTCTATTAAATTTAACACACGTTTAGTGAGCAGTGTCTATAGAAGAAATGAATTCCTCACTTGGTTTTTCTAAAAGGAAAATCTTTAAAACCTGAACATTCTAGTAGAAGTTGGAAATTCAATTTTAGTAGTGCTTTAGCTAAAAAAATTTTTTTTAGGTTTTCATTAAGACAAAGCCAGAAATAGCTTAGAACAATGAAGCACCCGCATCGCCAGATTAGAAGGTTTAAGATACATAAAATTAAATGGGCACTTAGCTATAATATCTTCCCAAATATCAAGTGTTTTTTTTTTTTCTTCTCTAAACAAGCTGCTAAGTAGAAAATGTACATGGAAATCTATGTAAAACGTGGAATGGTATTATTATGTGCTCAAAATGTGCCTACCAGATAAATATATATTTTAAGATATCTAAAGACATCTATGTGTAGGAGACTATAATTAACCCTAATTGGGGTAAGGTGATCAAATGATCTTCTTTGTGATTTCACTTCTGAGTTGGCATTCCTGGAGAAACATAAAATCCTCATCTGAAGCCAAATGAGATTAGATCACTCCCTAACACCATACACAAATATTTCTTTTCCATACCAGATTCCCAAAGGATGTGGTATAATTTGAAAAACCCCAATCTATTTATTTTTTACTCTTTCCATCATGCCCTCATTATAGTTGCAAGGTGGTATACATAGGCAAATTAACTGATCCCTGATAATAATTTTAATATCTACTATGAAGTGGTGAGCACTTGCTATATGTCAGGAATTGTTCTAGTTTTTAAAAATTCATTAAATCATTTAAATCCTATGAGAGCCTATATTTGCAAATGATTCAACTGACAAAGGATTAATCTCTAAAATTTACAGGCAGCTCATGCAGCTCAATAACAAAAAAATAAACAACCCAATCCAAAAATGGGCAGAAGACCTAAATAGACATTTCTCCAAAGAAGATATACAGACTGCCAACAAACACATGAAAGAATGCTCAACATCATTAATCATTAGAGAAATGCAAATCAAAACTACAATGAGATATCATCTCACACCAGTCAGAATGGCCATCATCAAAAAATCTAGAAACAATAAATGCTGGAGAGGGTGTGGAGAAAAGGGAACCCTCTTGCACTGCTGGTGGGAATGTGAATTGGTTCAGCCACTATGGAGAACAGTATGGAGGTTCCTTAAAAAACTACAAAT